GGGGGGGGGGGGGGGGGGGTCAAGAACCTAAATGAAAAATGTCAATTATTATTATAATTTTTTTAATTGTGTAAAATGCTCGAAAATTTATCAAACATAGATACTTAGGTATAATTGAGAATTTTCTACTGTTATTGTGTTTTACCTTAGTTCATTTGAGGTAAGTGATAGAAAATAATAGCATTTGACATAATAATAAACGATATAGATATCCAGTGAACATTTTTGTTTCTTGTATTTTCTGTTTGCAGTATGAATATTCGAGATGCGTCTCAGTGCTTATTGCATTATATTGTCAGTTTGATATTTGTCATCAGAGTTTGCTACTACTACCGCTACAGCCCTTTGACGGACTAAATCTTTACATATAAGTTTAGTGTTCAGAGAAATATCTAATATGTGTGTATTTCAAATACTTCTGAATGACCGTCGGCTACATATATATATATGTTTGTGTGTAAAGTCACACCTGAGTTTGGGTAATCAAGTATATACATCGAAATGTGACAACCTTCACGCACAGAACATCATATTTACACATATATATATATATATGTGTGTGTCTGCATATGTGGATGTTTACTTATGTATATGTTTAATGTATAGGAGTATCTTATCATCAGTTTAGGAAAATAAATCGCAGCGCCGCGGGTTCTATTTGCACAGCACAATGCTATCCGTCTCCTACATTCATGCTACGTGATGACTTGACGTTGAAGTTGCCGGTTCCTGTGGTACTTGCGAAAGTGAGGATATCGTATTAACACTACGTTAATGTAAATATTTTCTGCTCGCATGCAGAGTGGAAACTGACGTTCGTGGACGAACCCATTGGTGGAGCTTAAGTGTGTCGGCGACTTTATAAGTGACCCGTCTTTCCTTCCTCTGTGGATGTGTGAATATCATAGAAATAACAATTAATGTCAGAATAAACCCTGTAATACCGTTCCTACCAAAAGGTTTTCAAACAAACTTACTAAAGTAACGCATATAAATGGCTTCAAAGTAAATCCAGTTTTTTTGTCTTATAGAGCATTGAAATGAAAACGTACATTTCTCTGTCCCCGCCCCCCTGTGGCACAGCGGCATGTCTGCGGACTTACCACGCTAAAATCCGGGTTTCGATACCCGTGGTGGGCAGAGCACAGATAGCCCATTGTGTAGCTTTGTGCTTAATTAGAAACAAACAAAATCTCTGTTCCCCCCTTTTATTACCTTTATTACTTTGCATCGTGATTTTGGTAGGACGCGAACATGCTTTGAACGCACCAGAACCAATAAACTAACTCAGGAATATATGTATTGAAAATCGAGT